TCAGTTCAGTTCCTTCGCCTTGTTATATCAATAACAGATAAGTGGAAAGTGACGATCGTATCGCAATATCTGAAATTTTTCGTCGTGTTACTACAGTCACTCATGAGTTCTTTGTGCAGAGTCGGTGTTTCGTTTCCACGACTACATTACATTTACATTTACTTGAAGTACTGAGGTATTTTATCGCATGTTATAAACACTGCTTTGTTGCATACTTGCTTAATGTACTGACTATCATTTAGGACCGATCCTAATCGATTATTAATGATTCTTGCAAAGTATATTTTATCTAAAGAAATATCGTGTGATATTTGGTTCACAATTAATCTTCGTGGGAACAAAAAGAACGCTGGGCTTTTCTTTACTGCCAGCCAACCTGAACGAAAAGGATTATTTTCCCAGCCAGCAACTTTAAATAGAATCAAAATCCCACGCAGGAAAATGAAAGAGTCATTTTTTTATCTTCTTTTAGCAAATTTTGAATTGATATCAATTACCAGCCAGCAAGACATTATAATGGTTTAACTCTCAGGAAAGGATTACCTTTCTCCTGTAATTAGTCACACAAATTGGGTAAACTTATTATGAAGGTCTACGCTATGTTAATTAGTTTCTTAACTGTTAACTGAATAGGATTTGGTTCATAAATGATTCTTTCGTAACTGGTAAACGTTAGCATTTACTTGAGCAAATGTATTCAAGTCTGTGCGATTGCATTCTATCAGTCTTCGACGAAATTGAATTCTCAGGATAATGGGATCATGTAACTTGCGCTGATAATAATATTTGATTATCTCGTGGATTTGGCATAACATTGTTTCGGTAACTGATAAATTGTGAGACCCATCAGAGCTACAGAGAACATCACAACGTTGTTAAGTATTTAGTTTACTTGGTTTGATGTAAGCATTCGTTTATATTTAGTATTAATACAAGATTTGAATTTGTTGAAGTGCAAGGTTTCGCTTGCACGCCCAAATTGCGATGGAATTGGAATTGTTGTAGCTGAAGGATATGTACTTTGCTGTTTTATTCATGGTTTTTGTAGCTAGGTTTTGTTGTATGCAGTTGTAACCAATGTTGTCTCTAAATTTAAACACTTATGGTGTGGTTGACTTATTTATTGTAGACTAATATAATCAGTTTACGTGTAGGTCGTTGGTTCGGTATAGTCGGTGTAGTGTGTGTGATTACGGGTGTAGATTGGTTTGGTTAAGGTGTAGTGTTGAGTAGTTTTGAGCAAATTGATTAACCTGGAGCAGTTCTGTAGTTTGAATTAGCTAGCTATAATAACCTAGGTCTAGAAAAACTCTAGCATAAATACACTGTTTTCACTCTCACGTATGATAGTCTCTTTGAATCACTGTGCGACGCAAATATGCTTACCTTTGATGGGTGTGATTTTATCTTTGAATCACAGTTAGACTGAATCGACCCTCTCAGCCGCGAGTGATGATTCCTTGAGAGTTTGTTCTGTTCACAGAAAAGTAGTCAAGGCCGTTTAGACGCTGAAAGATAAATGATTTCATTGTTTCCTTTATCAACAACGAGGTTCAGAAGCAGTTATGCGTGTAAGTTTATGCTACAAACCATTAACACCACAAAGGATTCTTTTATCAATAAAATAATGGCACGGGACGTCTTGGAACTGGAATTTGACTTCAGTTATGGATGTTATAAACGCTGACGATGGAACGTAGGAACTGCTGTAGCTGAAGCAGGTTGGCTCTGAGTGCGGGTGTACTTTGATGTTTTATTCATGGTTGTTGTATTTAGTTGTTGTTGTTTTTAGTTGTACCCAATATTGTCGCTGAATTTAAACAATTAAGGTGTGTTTTACATATTCATTGTAGACTAATATGATCCATGTACTTGTACGCCATTAGTTCGAGTTTATCCTGGAATCACAGCTACACTGATTCGATGCTCTCGAGACGCTCAGCTGTCGAGTGATGATTCCTTGAAAGTTTGTGCTGTTTGCAAAAAAGTATTCAATGCCGTTTAGACGCTAAAAGATAAATGATCTCATTGCATGTTTCCTTTATCGACAAAGAGGCCTATGCGCAGTTATGCGTGTAAGTTTATGTTAGAAACCATTGACACCACAAAGGATTCGTTTATCACTGAATAGGATGATGGCACGAAACATCTTGCAATTCAGACCTTACAGCTCTTGAAACAGAAAAAATAGACTTAGTACAGTTAAAGAACTTGAATGTGACTTACATTTTAGAAGCTCAATTTTTCCACTTTCGAATGAAAAGGATTATTATAACATAGAGCGCGTGCTTGCCCTATATAAGTCCTATTGAGCCGCTAGGAACAAATTCTTAATTTACGCACGCCCGTGCGTAAATAAGATGACGTGAGCATTTTGTTTACTTGGCTTCAGAGTTTTCGTCCTGTTAAGCTGCAGTGCAGTTTCCCTTCTCTTTGAAATATGGAAGAAACCAGTGAAGAACTGCTCAATTTTTCTATCGGCATTGACCTTTTAGGTCCTGATCCAACAGGCAACAAAAAAAAAGCTGAAAAAAACTCGCAAGTTGCACGTTTCGCAAATTTTTCGGAAGCGTGAACATCATTTTGAATATTCAAAACCCTTGATAACTTCGGGTCTCTGACTTTTAAAACATTTTTTAGTGACACGAGTTCATCTGGCTTTGATTTTCTCCATTTTTCCCATAAATTTTGAGCTTTTCATTCACAGTTATCGGTCAACTGGATCACATGTTCTCGCTGAAACCAAAATAATAAATGTGGCGTGTTTTTGACCAGCCAATAGGGACGTTTGTTTACTTTTTTTTGGGCGTAGTGAGAATTCTCAATAAAAGGCTTCTTCGCGCAGATCCTTGTTGTCGCTCTGTTATAAACGAATTTGCTCATGCTTTTAGCTGTGCGTATATCGAGTATAATGGATGCACTTGGGAAGCTTGGAGAGCACTCAGAAAGCTAGAGCTGATCTCGGCTACGCCTCGAGCTACTCCCACGCATTTTTCGTGCTCTCCAAACTTTCCGCGTGCATTCATAACTCGATATACGCACGCTAAGCATGAACAAATTCTTAATTTTCCCGGCCAGCAACTTAAGTAGAATCAAAATCCCATGCAGGAGACTAAAAGATTTTTTTTTTTCATAAGGAAATTACGATTTGCTTTCAATTATAAGCCGGCAAGATATTACAGCAACTTTAAATAGAATGAGAAGAACTTAAAGACTGAGATATTTATTGCATGTCATAAACACTATCTTCTGCATACTTGCTTAATGTACTGACTGTCATTTAAGACCGATCATGATCGATTATTGACGATTCTTGCGAAGTCCATTGTATTTAAAGAAACATTGTGTGATATTTGGTCAACGATTAATCGGTGCAAAGACTTCTCGGCTCGAGACAACCAAAGGCAGCCCAAACTGTAAGAACGAGTACAATTTTTCCCACATCTGTGGCATGGCTTATTTACATCACATTAGCCAAAGTGATTTCGCTGAAATAGCGGTTGAAATTTCGTTACATAAGAAATATGATTATCAAGTTCTGTGTAGTAGGCTTAAAACCTTTTTGGCAAATGGCAAATGCCGTTAAAAATATTTTAGAGATTGGAGGAAAAAGCACTAAGAACTGCAAGTACCCAAAAACTAAAACAACTGTAGTATAATAAAAATAAAAGCTAAGTTTTTTCGTTTGTCTTACGATGTAGTCACGTGTAATCTACAACACACGTGACTACATCGTGAGACAAATGTGAAAACTTCGCTTTTGTTATTCATCACGATGAATAACCACAACCTTTCTTACGCAATTAATTGTCTATAACAGTTGCAAACGGCCAGAAATTCAAAACAACGAAAGGGAATCCTCTGCTAACTCTAAAAGAGCGCTTTTCGATTGGGCGTGGCGTAGGAGGAGCGTGGTTTTCGTTGTAATGTTACCCTTAGTTCTGATCGGCCCGTATTTCTCTCATTTGGTGTATTAGTTCTAGAAGGTCTTAATGGGTAAATGGGGTTAACTATTAGCCGTTAAACGGCCAAAAAAATTTAGCCGTTAGGCGGAGAAATTTGCAAAAGTTCTAACGGTTAATCGTAAATAAAGTTAACCGTAAAAAAATCTCTGGTGACAACAATGGCGCAGTGTTAACCGTTAGCCGTAAAAGCCATCAACACATTGAGACCCTCTTGAGCGACAGTCATTCTGTAGACTCGTAGCAAACGAGGATAAAAGCGAAAATTATGTTTTATTCAGACGTTACTTCAATGTTGAAGGCTTTGCAGGGAAAAAAAGAAGTTGACACTGGCCATTCGGTTTTTTTGTAAAGATCACATCACAGCTGAAAAAAAAAAAAAAAGGTGATACTAACACTGTAAAGTTTTATCCATCTTCCTGTTTGAACTGGAACAAGTATATTCTAAATTGTCTTGTTGTAATCCTAGTCTACACCAGTATCATTTTCTTAACAAATGCGCCACCTTTCATGGAAAAATTGTCTGCCTAAAAAAAATTAGCAGAAAGTAAGGGGAAAGTTATCGACATTCTTAAAAAAGGAGAAATTACGTTTATATTTTAATTACGGTTTCATAAAACCATCTGGCCCCAAGTTTGTGCTAAAGAGACATTTTTTGTTAAGCTTTGAAATTGAGATAACTTTCTTGGTCAGGACAAACCAAATTTGTTACAAAATCTCAAGACTAAACCTTTGCAACAGGTCTAATAATTTATTAGAAGAATCTGAATTTCATGGTTCTGAATTGCTTGGTTAATTTGTATCTAGTTAGCATGATAACAAATTAATTTACACTGAAAAAAACAGCAGTTTTAGTTTGCCAACGAGTGTAATCTGGAAAAATCTATAGGGGATTGTTGATATGCACACGATATCAAAATACTTGAATCAAAGTAACCCCGTCTCGTCCATTTATAGCAGTTAACAACTGAGAATAAGATCAAGTCTAAACGGCTTCTGTAATTTTGATGCGACCAGAAAAATCTCTAAACAGTGATATGATTCGTGAAGGATGCCTGTGCATACATTGCACGCACATTTCTTGGTCTCAATTTGAATAACAACAGTTTGAGCAAAGTGGTCGATACACACGATCTTATCTCAGCTTTGTGGTTACTGCGGTATGTGCATTAGCATCTTTTTAATTGGTGGTTCTTTTTTTCTTTGTTTTCGTTTTATGCACGATCTACCATGCGTTAGGTCACAAGAGACTCTAACAAGCTTCAACACCCTTTATTACGCACGTTTTGTACCTTGCACGTTTTTTTAGTTCAGTTTGCATCCAAGTTCAAGTTTTGCCGTTTCTTGTCTATGAAAAACGCCGATAAGGTTTGTATGTCTTGCCTGTAGGTTTTGTACCTTCGGCTTTTGTTTTCTAGTGTATTTGCAACATTTGTTGTTTCTTTTTTTACCCTAGAACCGACTCTTGTGGAAACGACATTTCCTTTTCAAACTTGACCAAGATTGAGTCTATCGTCGGTGAACTGTTCAAGAATAAAGTGAAACTCGTGTCCGCGAATTCTTGTGTGTGCGGATCTTATCTCAGCTTGGGTACTTTTCTGAACATGTTACGACATTGTACATCATAAGGAGAGAGAACAGTGTACTCCCTTATTTCACATCGTTTTCCGTGAATTTCTTAAAAGACGGCTGGAGAGCAAAGGAAAAAAAGTAGTTAATTGTACGCACACACTTCTGCCAAGAAAAACTTCTTGGAAAGGAACAGAAAAATGAAAATTATAAACAGTGACTGCAAATTATAGCCAGCTGAGTTCCCCATGGTGTGATATTTTCCACAAAGAACGATCGACTAAAACGGCTTTGGAATAACTCGCAAGATCTTGAAATCACACCCCACGAGGTAAGACACAAAAATTAACTATTTTCGATCGGTTGGCATTTATCATTTTTTCAATCACAGCTCACGGAAAAGTCTGTTTTCGGAGATGAATGGGAGTAATCGACAATCTTTTGATTGTCAGACACTTTAATTTATAATTAACGCAGGTTTCTCTTCTCTGTTCACTTTCAAATGGCAAGGAAATTCACTATAATTCGATTCAAATGAGTGTTAAAAAATTTAAAAAGTTGTCATCGTTAAAATGTTTGTTCCCTTTAATGGCGCCTGAAAATCTTTTCTTTCTTCTGCCGTAAAACTGACGTTGAATGAGGAAATTTCTCTGAACTCGAGGGAACTATTGCAGATTCCATTCACTG